TAGGATATATGAGTTTTAATCATGTTCAGACATTAATTAGCTGTGCAACTTTACTTAAATAACTTAATCTGTCTGAGGATTAGCTCTTCATCTCTGTAAAAGAAATAATATATATCCTTCATTCCTCATAAGATGTTGTAAGGATCAAATGAGATACCACACATGGAAATGCTCTATTATTAAAATCTAATAACAGGCAAACAACTAGATACCATATAGAAAAGAATGAACTTTACCTCTACCTCACAATACACACAAAAGCTAGTGCTACATCAATTATAGACCTAGCTAAAACTATAAAATGTCTAAGAGAAAACAGAGGAGAAAGAAGGCCTTCATGGCTTTGGGGTAGGCCAGTTTCTCAGACAAGGCACAAAAGGCATGAACCATAAAAGAAAAAACAAACTGGACTTCATCAAAAGACAACATTAGGAAGTAAAAAGACAAGCCACAAACTTGGAGAAAATGTTTGTAATACATACATCTGACAAACGACTCATATCCAGAACGTATAAAGAGCTCCTACAAATCAATGATAAAAAGACCAAAAAAATTAAAAATAGGCAAAACACCTGAATAGGCAAAAGATGTCCATATGACCAAAAGCATACAAAAAGGTGCTGAACAACTCTCAGAGAAATGCAAATTGAAACACTATCCACCCATCAGAATGGCTAAATTAAAAAGAATAACAATACTTAAGTATTGACAAGGATGTAGAACAACAAACTCTCAAACACTGAGGGCAGGAGTATAAAATGGTAGAAACCACCTCAGAAAATTTTAATTATACACCTGCCCTATGACCGAGAAATTCCACTCCTAAGTATATGTCCAAGAGAAGTGAATATGTATGGCCACAAAAAGACTTACACAAGAGTGTTCATAATGACTTTATTCATAATAGCCAAGAATTACACACAACCCAAATATCCATCAACAGAAGATGAGTAAACAACTATGGTATTTTCATATAATGGAATACGACTCAAAAATAAACAGGAATACTACTGATATATGCAACAACCTGGACGAGTCTCAAAAACATCATGCTGAGAGAAAGGAATCAGAAACAAAAGAATACACACTGTATGCTTCCATTTATGTGAATTTCAAGAATAAATGCAACCAACTTACATGGTGAGAGAAATCAGAATAGTTGTTGCCTCTGCGGAGGAGGGAGGATTGACTGGAAAGGGAGATGAAGGAACTTTCGGGGATGATGGAAACGCTCTTTTATCTTGATATGGGTGATGGTCACATTTATCAACATTCATCAAACTGAACACTTAAGATCTGTGCATTTTATAGTATATAAATTATTTCTCAATAAAGCACTGTTAGTATTAAAAATCTATTTTAAAAAGTAATTTATAGTTAAAAAATGGAACAGCATATTGTTATTAAAGGAGTCAACTCTGACATTTATATTTTTTATATTCCTAAAAGATAGTCAATTTCTAAAAATTTGCTAAAAGTGTAAAAATATTAAGATATTAATCACCCATTCATCAAACATCTACTGAGTGATCCTAATCTCAGGTAATGTACTAAGTCCTAGGGACACTGTTCTTGCCCTTAAGAAACCAGACCTAAAATAAACACGTAAAATAGAGGATATATGCCATGACCAAGTGGGATTTATGCTAGGAATGCAAGGTTGTTCACATACAGAAATCAATCAATGTAATACACCATATGAATAGAATAAAGGAGACAAGGTGGGAAAGCACAAAATTATCTCAATAGATGCAGAAAAAGCATCTGACAAAAGTCAACCCCCTTTCTTGGTAAACACACTCAACAAACTAGGAACAGAAGAGAACTTGTCAAGCTGATAAAGAGCATCTATGACAAACCCACACCTAACATCATACTTAATGGTGAAAGACTGAAAGCTTTCCTCTTAAGATCAGGAACAAGACAAGGATGTCTGCTCTCACTGCTTCTATTCAACCTTGTACAGGAGGTTTTAGCCAGGGCAATTAAGGAAGAAAAAGAAATGAGAGGCACCCAGACTGGAAAGGAAGAAGTAAAACTATCTCTATTTGCAGATGACATAATCTTGTATGTGGAAAGGCCTAAGGAATCTACAAAAAAAACTACTACAGCTAATAAACAAGTTCAGCAAAGTACTAAGATACAACATCAATATACAAAATCAGTTGTTGTATTTCTATACATTAGCAGTGAACAATCTGAAAACAAAATTGGGAAAATTTCATTTACAATAGCATCAAGAAGAAAAAAATATCTAGGAATAAATTTAAGAAAATAAGTGTAAGATTTGTATACCGAAAACTACAAAACATTTGTGAAAGAAATGAAAGAGGACCTAAATAAAAGGAAAGACACCTGTGTTCATGGATTGGAGGAACTGATATTATTAAGATGGCAAAATTCCCAAAATTGACCTACAGATTCAATGCAATCTGTACGTCACTAGCATAAGGATAGACATATAGATCAATGGAACAGAATTAAGAATACACAAATAAACCCACACATCTATGGTGAATTGATTTTTGTAAGGGTGCCAATATAATTCAAGGGGGAAAGATAGTCTTTTCAACAAATAGTAGTGGGACAACTGGATATCTGCATGCAAAAGAAGGAGGCTGCCCTTCTACCTCACACCATATACAAAAATTAACTCAAAATCAATCCCAGATCTAAACGTAAGAGCTAAAACCACAAAACTCTTAGAAGAAAACATAGATATAAATCTTCGTGGCTTTAGATTAGGCAATGGTTTCTTACATGAGGCACCGAAAGCACAAGTAACCAAAGGAAAAACAGGTAAAACTGGACTTTATCAAAATTTAACCAGAAAGTAAAAAGATAACCTATAGAGAATGGGTGGAGACATCTGAAATCATCTATCTAACAAGGGTCTTGTATCCAGAATATATAAAGACCTCCTAAAACTCAACAATAAAAAAAACAAATAATCCAGTTAAAAATGGACAAAGGATTTGAACAGACATTTCTCCAAAGATGATATATAAATGGCCAGCAAGGACATGAAAAGATGCTCAATATCATCAGTCTTTAGGGAAATGTAAGTCAAAACCACAATGAGATACTACTTCACATCCAGTTGGATGACTACAATCAAAAAGATGGACAATAACAAGTGTTGACAAGGGTGTGGAGAAACAGGAACCCTGACACACTGCTGGTGGGAATGTAAAATGGTGCAGCTGCTAAGGAAAACAGCTTAGCAGTTCCTGAAACAGCCAAACATTGAATTACCATATGAGCCAGCAATTCCTCTCCTAAAAATTGAAAGCAGCCATTTGAACTGATACTTGTACACTAATGTTCATTGCAGCATTATTCACAGCAGCCAAAAGCTGGAAACAACCCAAGAATCCATCAACAGACGAATAAACAAAATGTGGTATATGTATATATACAATGGAATGTTAATCAGCTTTAAAAGAATGAACTTCTGATACATCCTATAACATGGATGAACCTGGAGGACGTTAGGGCAAGCAAAATGAGCCAAATACCATATGATTCCACTTATATGAGGCACCCAGAATAGGCAAATTTATAGATACAGAAAGTATATTAGAGGTTGGCAGGGGAGTTATTGCTTAACGGTTACAGAGTTTCTGTTTGGGGTGATGAAAAATTTTGGAAATAGATAGTGGTGATCATTGCACAACATTGTGAATGTAATTAATGCCAATGAATTGTACACTGAAAACGGCAAATTTTATGTTACATATACTTTATCAATTTTAAAAATATAATCTACCAAAAACCAAAGGACTGTGCCCTTTAAACAGGTGAACTCTATGGTATGTGAATTGCATCTCGATAAAGCTGTTCTTCAAAGAGTGAAGGGGAAAAAAGAAATGAGCTCTCAAGCTATAAAAAGACATGGAGAAATCTTAAATGCATATTGCTAAGTGAAAGAAACCGGTCTGAAAAAGCTACATACTGAATGATTCCAACTATATGACATATTGGAAAAGGCAAAACTATGGAGACAATAAAAAAGAGGAGTGGTTGCCAAGGGTTTGGAGGAGGGGGGAAAAGACGCATAGGTGAAGTGGAGGGCATTTTCAAGGCAGTGAAACTATTCTGTATGATCCTGGAACGGTAGATACATGACGTGCATTTTTCAAAACCCACTGAACTGGAGAACACAAAGGGTGAACCCTAAAGTAAACTAAAGGTTTTATAGTAAATGAGTATCAACACTGGTTCATCAATCGTAACAAACCTACCAGACCACTGTGGGATGTTAATAGGAGAAACCACGTGTGGGGAGGGAAGGAACTCTGTACTTTCTGCATAATTTTTCTGTAAACCTAAAACTGCTCTAAAAAAAACAGTCTATTTTAAAAATGTACACTTACAGAGACTGCACTGAATTTTATCCTCTTCGCATGATTCATAGGACTATTCATTCTAAACACAAATTCGAATTTTCCAGGGGAGGGGAGGAGGTGCCGGTTCTCCTACCACTGCAGACGACCAGGCTGCACCGCGCCGTCTCCGCCGGGTGCTCCACAGACCCTCTCCCTGCTTCACCTCCCCTCCACCCCTGACAAAATTATCTTACGACCTAAATTTTTGTATTCATATAACTACTTCCATCTAGACAGTCTGTGAAGAGTCCATAGTCTTTGGAAACACTGCCTTGCATTTGTGACTGAATTCCAGTCTAATTATAATTATGAATTACAGTGATATCATTATACCAAATTGCAGTGCCTCCTCTTTTATTCACTTTGTTCATTTTCTATGAGGTATCCTTTTATCAGAACCTAAGAGTATTAGTTTTACACATGCCTTTGAAAAAAAAATCTAGTTCTCTAAGGTACTCTGGAGTCAACACAAAGGATTAACCTTAACTGTCCCAGAGGAGAGGTAGCTAATAACACTTAAGAACAATGTTTCCCCAGCTCCTGGTTTAAAATGATCCCCTCCCAAACTCCTAATCTTCATTGGCACGCTGTATAAACGTCCTCAACTGTTACCTTGGTCTTTTCCAGCTTCATCTACGTGTTGAAAATCTTTCAGTGTTTGAAGGTTACAGAACCCCTCTCTGCAATGCTGAATAACTTTCCTTGATCCATTCTTGATGAGATAATCCATTAGCGTAAGGGACTTATACACATGGCGCCAGTTCTTCCCATGGTCCTTGAGTCTCTGCCATAGCATATTCATAATCTCTGAGAGGGAAATCGTGTTGAAAGTCAGGTCACTGATATCTAACATCAGAGAACTAGAAGGACCCCAAGGGTCATTGGAAGTTGCTTCCCTGACTTTTATTTCAGCATCTGAGTAATTTTTCACAAAGTTTTTCACTTGCCTCCTGAACGCCATAGGTGAGACAAGTCTGAAGGGGAGACGCAGGATTAGAGCACTGGGATGGTGTTACGTGATGGGTTTATAAAACCCTTGAGAGGTAATTGGCCCCCCGTTCTGCTGCTCCCACATACAAATGATTAATCTCCATCTTGACAAGGCATCGATTTCCTGCAAAGTACACAAAAAAATGTAAGTTAAATATTTTTCTAGTGTCTATAGAAGACCAAGTCAGCCTGAAAAATCTAGCTTTAGTTTCTAACTCAGCCCCTCACTTACATCAGCCAGAACTGAGGGTACCATATAAATGTTCTCAGGATCAGCATGGCAAAAACTCTCATAAGGGATTGGCTTGTGTTATTTAAAGAAATACAGGTGGTCTTTCTAGACTGAAAAGTTTCACAGAAGATAGCATTGAACCTCTCTGGCCAGAAATAAAATTATTCCAAAGCATTTCATGGACAATGGACAAGTTAGCATAAAGAAATGGAATTTGTCCTCTGACATCTCTTGCTTAAGATTTGTTGTCATGTATAAAAATGTTATGTCCCAAAGGTAATTAAGAGGAAAATTGAGTCGTAGAATCACCAAGTGATTCTATGGTTGTACTCTGTTTAGAACTACACATCATTAGAATCCAATCTAACCACGGTCTGCTTTCTTGTCAATCTAAAAGGGGGAGGGTCATCAACCATTAAGACAAATAGCTGTACCTCAGTGGACTCCACACCTAACTCATGGTACCTGAAACCAATATTTTAGTCCTGGGAAGGCTGGTAAGTTCAAGAAAACGTTAAATTACTTTCTTTACTCAGCTTTAGAAAAAGAAGTATGAGTTTAGGATTAAACAACGTCAATACTATGATTCAAATGGCGTAAGGGTTTCCCTAAAACCTGGAGTGATCAGCATGTGTCTGTCAGATCTCACACCAAGTACATACAAAGAGAGGCTCATCCAAGTTGATACAAAAATACGTTCAAGGAGCCAGCCCAGTGGTATAGTGCTTAAGTTTGCATGCTCTGCTTTGGTAGCCTGAGGTTCGCAGGTTTGGAACCCAGGTGCAGACCTACACACCATTCATCAAGCCATGCTGTGGTGGCATCCCACAGATAAAATGGAGGAAGACTGGCACAGACATTAGCTCAGGGTTAATCTTCCTCAAGCAAAAAGAGGAAGATTAGCAACAGATGTTAGCTCAGGGCTAATCTTCCTTGCCAAAAAAAAAAAAAAAAGTTAAAACGTAAAAGTGGTATGCAGCCCCCAAATTTAAATGATGCTTCTGAATGATCAAGTCACAGTTTATACGAAACCATTCCCTTTCTTCTCTTTCATTACTTTACACTGAGGTGGGTCAGTAACTTTGCAATCTCCCTAGTGAGTCACCACTGATGGCCACCAAGAGAGTGTACCAAATTCATTTCAAGCCCTGACAAGCATCCAGACCAAATGAAGCCTCAACAATCTATAATCAGATTTTACTAGAGAAACTGTGCACATACAGAAGAAAAATATTAAAATCCATAACAAACGTGTTTGTTATTTTTGGGTTTGTTTCTCTTCTTTGACCTTCTCAATTCCTAGCTCAGCTTGATTATTTCTGTGTTTAAGGAAGACGTAAATTTTCAGAAGCATCCTAAATGAACTATCACTTCTTTTTTAAAAAATAAGAGAAGGGGATAATTAATTTTTTTTTTTGTAAAAGTACAACCCATCCTCAAATAAGCAAGATAGAAAATGTATTGGTTTAATTAAGATTTCTCAGAGAAACACTATCATCAACCCTAGGAAGAAAAAAGAGAAGTTATGTGTTTTTACATTTTGTCTGATTTTCTCTCTTCAAATACAGGTGTTTCTATCCGACTCACTCCTGCAGCAAAAACTCAATTTATAATGCATTTCAAGAAGCTATTAAAATTTTCAATCATGGTGGTTTCTTTTTCTATTGTCCCTTCTTCCCTTTTACCAAGCTCACTCAAGGCAGAGATGCACTATGACACTGGATCACTATGACACTGCTTAGAGCAGCAAATATTGATCTGTTTCCCCACAAGTCTATTAAAAAAAAAAGCCTGTTAGAATTGTAACCTGCTGGAGTTGAACAACATTTGTTAAAACCCTTTTCTTCTTTTCTTTTTTGGATAGCTACCCATCGATATTTTGGGGGAACAAAAATTCTAGTTTTCAGGTTTTCCCATATTCTTTAACCTGCATTTTTAAAAATATTTGATTAAATGAATTTTATGCCCCACAAAAGTATCTAAATAATAGCCTTCAATCCAATAGAGTAGTTTAAAATGGATGTGGTGGACATCATATCAAAACTAACCACATTCCTAATCACAGGAAAAACCACAGAGAAGCAAGTCTGGAGAAGTGAACTGGTGTCATTTCCTAATGCACAGGACCTTGTGACATGAACGCAGAATACGTAAGACACCGGCCCACTACAGATATCTTTCAGACTAACAAGAAGTTCACTTAATTGGTGTTAGTTGCAAATTATACACTGGTTTATTACGTGTTTTAGATGCCTGACTACAAATGCTCAGTTTACTTGTACCATCAAAAACTTGAGATTGCAATTGTGGTGATGTGACAGCTGAGACAGAAGCAGTGCCTAAGAGGGTAAATTTTCACACCTGAATTTTCGTTGTCTGGCTACCCACATCCCTATAATATTTAGAAATGGAGGGAAGTAAGATATTTCATGTCACAAATCTGGGTGGCGTCCTCTGAGAGGCCTTCACCCACCACACTAACTACTCAAGCCCCCCCATCATACTCTTCAGCACCCAGTTTATTTCCTTCACGGCACTTGTCATGGTCTGTACTTTCGGATTCGTTATTTGGTTTTTGGCTTTCTCCACCACTAGACTGGAAACTCCTTGAGAACAGGAATGTTCTTATTTACCACTGTACTCCTATTGCCTAACAGGCACCTAGCACATAGTAGGTACTCAAAAAACAGGTGTTGAGTGAATGACCAAATGGTTGAATGATTCTGCTTTGGGATAAACCTGCACTGATTCTACAGCTTTGCATGACAAACACGACATTTAAAAAACATAATCCAGCTCTTGTAATTGTCAAGTAAAATTCTAGAGTTTTGAGTAAATATTTTCAAATCAGTCGACAAATATTTCTTGAGTACCTACCATTTATACAGTTTTTGGAGGATATATGAAATGAGAAACATGATTTCCTACATTCAAAAAAACATCGTTTAGGGGCTGGCCCCGTGGCCGAGTGGTTAAGTTTGCGCGCTCCGCTGCAGGCAGCCCAGTGTTTCCTCGGTTCGAATCCTGGGCGCGGACATGGCACTGCTCGTCAGACCACGCTGAGGCAGCGTCCCACATGCCACAACTAGAGGAACCCACAACGAAGAATACACAACTATGTACCAGGGGGCTTTGGGGAGAAAAAGGAAAAAATAAAATCTTTAAAAAAAAAAAAATCGTTTAGTTAAGGAGCCTTCTCCCGTAAATAATTCCAAAATAAACAGAAGAGGAGGTAAGAAAGGTCTCTTGGTTTTCTTTGTAGATTTGCCCACTCCCACAACACCTTGGGCAAAGGCTCTTCCCCCTCCGACGTCATCACGTGATGTTCAACTACTGGTCCACACTCTCTCCCTGGAATCCTTTGAGGCCAGATGAGCTGTGGGATTTCAATTCCATTTTTTTTTTTTTTTTTTTTTTGACTTTTGAAGTGTGGCGCCGTGCCTGTCCCATACTACACAATACCCACAGGAGGGGGGAGGGGGGGGGGGGGGGGGTGCTGCAAGCAATCAAACACGTGAACAGGACTGCGACAAGACCTTGTAAATATTTGGAATACAAAAACACAAATGGCTCATTTCAGTTCACGTCTTGCTGCCAAACAAGTTAGGGGGGAAAAATCGGTTTTCAAAAGTTTTTGGATGCCGGAATTGAGAATAAGGGACAGAGGAGCTGAACTGACTTTACCCAAAGACTTAGGACAATAATGACAACAACGACGAGCGTCAGAGAGGCTGCGTCAGAGGCAGCTCTGGAGGGAGGCGTTCCGGGGAGCGCTACCGGGAGAGCCGGCTCTCGGGTGTGGACGGGTTCTGCCTCAAGACACGAGTTAGCTCAGGGGAAATAAGCTCCGGCCCGGACGGTGACAGGAGAACGATTACCGAGACTATCACGGCAGGAAGAGGGGTGAATGTGCTCATGGACAGAACACGCAAGAGGCAGAGAAACCAACTTTTGTGAGCCCCTCCCCTGCGCTCATCAATTCATCCAGCTGGTGATTTTCCAGAGTTTACCCTGTGACAAGGTCCATAACAGGAAACGGCCAAACAGGTGCACAAGACACAGCCCTCGCCCTCTGGAGTAAACGGCTGCTGTCTCGGGAACGCTCACAGCTAGGCATTCGCATACCTCACCTCATCGCTTTAATGAGGACTCCAAAGGCACGGATTTGAGGTCCTGCTCTGCCATTTCCTAGCTAAGGTTTAACAACTTCTCTGGGCCTCAGGTACCCCATCCGCAGCATAAGGAGTAATCGCCACACCGGGAGGACTGTTGAGAGGAAGAAATGAGATGCGCGGGAAAGAACTTGGAACATAAAGGATGGAGGCCGAGAGAGAGCCAACTTCCGGTAGACAAGGGGTCTTCCGGAAGGACAAGGTCTTTCCTTGGCATCCGTTTCTTCATTCATTCAACAATCGTTTCCAAAGGACCACTGAGCACCACGTGGGCCCTGTGGCAGCGCCGGCTCACCGAGGAAGCAGACCGGCGACTGCCCTCAGAGAGTCCGCAATTTACTCAAGGGGAGGATGGGCCTCAGAGAAGTTTCTAGAGGAGGGCGTGACGTGATGGCGTCACACACAGGGGCCTTCCCTCACGCAGTCCATGCGGCCTCGTCCCCCTCCCGCCCGCACGTGGACCGCGCAGGGAGCGGGCCTTGGATGGGGGGCGGCACAGCAGCGCCTTCAGGTCCCGCCACCCCATCCCCGCTCCAAATGAGCGTCCGCTACCTGAGGGGCAGTTCCCGCCGCCGGTGTCGGGGCCTTCTCCTGCTCAACCTCAAGCCCCTGGTGGGCCGGCCGACCTGCCTCCTCCACCCATGCTCAAGCGCCCAGGCTCCCCCACTTCCGCTTCCTCACTTCCGGCCTCTCACTTCCGGCCTCTCCCAGGTCTGCCGC